AGTATTTTGAAAATTCAATCTCTTAATTCATTATTTTCAAAATCTTGTTTTCCATTCATAAGTGGTGGTGCTATAGATGTAGGTGCTTCTTTGGAATCACTGCGGGGCTTGGATGCTTTTTTGGCATCAGATTTTGACTTGAGTCTCAAACCAAACCTTTTCAAGAATGTGTTCCAGCTCCCCTTTGTCTTCACCAGTTTCTCCATCTCTTGTTTCATGCTCAAACACTCCTTCTCTAGCTCGGAAACTCGTTCCCTCATGTCATCAACGGTCACAGTATGATCACGCCGAGCGGTGCCAGCGTGAGCAGATGCCTCGTTTTGACCAAGCACAAGATTCCCACTCTGGTTTTGTGAGTTCTCAAGGTTGTCAGATACAAAGAACCAACTGGCAACTGATGTGCGCAGCCGAAGTTGTTCAAAGAACAGAACTTGGACAATGACACGGAGCGGTAGCCTCTCATTCTGGGCTGCATGTGTGCTGGCTTCCAGTGAGAGCTTCTGGCAGTTCATGAGCCTGCAGACTTGTTCCCTCTCGGAGTCTGTTAGCCAGGGATGGGCCTGAACTTGAGAAACAAGTAAGTTAGCTTAAGAAGTAATGGAAATATTAACATATTCTAATGGCTGCAACAATTTCCCAAAAGCATTGCAGATTTGCTTTCTTATTCTTATGCTATGTGCAGGCCTCAATGCCTTGTTTTGGTTTAGAAATTTACAAAAAAATTAAACAGTCCTAAAGCACTAAAAACTATCAAGATTAGCAAGTAGAAGATGTTATAACAAATATTGGAAATGCTTTGGAAGTTGTAGAGCAAGTCCTTCAACCAGATTTTCATAACCATGATCATAAATAAGAGTAAAGATCTATGTACCTTGAGGTATATATCGATAGCACGGTAAATTCCATCGTCTAATGGTCTGGCATATTCAGGGATAACAGCAGCTAGAGACTGAAATTTTTGCAACTTCAAGTTAACATCAGGTGCTACTTCTGCAAGATAGCCATCAACCAGGTTAGCTACCATGGTCATTGGGGTCAGTGAATGAGATGCACCCATCAACTGGCCCTCATCCACTATGCAGCTTGAAGTACACTCAATCGAATCGCGGTCCATAAGCATGAAGTGATCAAGAATCCGCTGAACACAGTCAGTATCATAGAGGGTCTCCACTGAGTACCCCATGTTTGGTATCAGGATATCTTCAAGAGCTGCTTGATCCAATTGGGCCCCAACCTGTTTCTCCAAATTCTCTCGACAGGATGTGCTAGCTTGCAAAATCATAGATGTCCGCAGAAGCCTTAGCAGGAAGTTGGTTGGTGTGACACCCTTATGATCAGGAAGTAATTCCACTATCTCTTCAAGGAGATTCCTTTGGTCTGGATTAGATGGAGCAGAAACAGTTGATAAAGAGGCAGCATGGTTTCCATTTCGAAAACTCGATTGCCTACCCAACAAGGAAAGATGCCTCTTTGCATAGTGCATGATGGAGCCAGCAATCCTCTCTGGCTTCATGCTCCCTGATTCAACAGCCAGAATCAGTCTTTTATAAAGAGGAAACTTTAGGAAGCAGACATCTTCATACCACCAATCCTCACTGACTGGATGTGGCTTGGCTGTTGTGCATATTCCATTCCAAAACACCACACCTTCTGAGCTCTCCGTTGCATCCTTTCCCGACACAGGCCAACTGAATAAACCTGGATCAGCACTAGCTTTCATTGCCAATGAATTGATGCATCTTGAAACAAGGTGAAGCTCTTCGGCATGAGGCAATACCTCTTCGCAGGTTTCAAGTGCTTTAATGGAGTCACTCCAATTGCTAAAGATTTCGTTTAGAAAATCCTCTGCTTGTGTTATGAGATTTCCCTCTCCGTAGTCTTCACCCATACAAAGATACTCAGCCGCACACCTTACACTAACTACATTCGAAGCGTTGAGTTCTATTCTCACACCATAACAAAATTTGGCTACCAGCAAGAATGCTTTGGCTCCACCAGGAATGTCATGCAGTTGCACAATACATTTATGCTCATCCTTACTAGAAACTTCTCCAATAACATTCTCTAGCAATCCACTTCTAGACAGCAAAGGAAACTGGTGGATATAGAAAAGGTGGAAACAAAATACAGTGTATGAGAATATACAGCAGATGAGGAGAGAGTGTCATTAAGAAATCAGTGAGCAGAAATAAACACAGAGCTGCATATGTAGAAATGGGGTTAACATCAAAAGTATTTTTTATCAAACAAGAACAAAAGGCAGAGGAGAAGCATTTTGTTTGTGTGCCTCAGATTCAA